AGAATAGACACGAGATAAATTGAAAGACAACAGAAAGAAGGGCCCCATACGGTAATAACACAATGAAGCGGAAGATTATGGAGGCCATTCACATCCTTGAGGATAAAACTCCAGTGAACAGGAGATAACTTTGCCTACTGCTCAAGCAAACTCGGAGGAAACAAGAATAGAGCAAGAACAGCAAAAAGGAGAAGCCTGGATCAAGGATCTATCGCTAGCAGGAGGAAGGGGGAATTTTCGGGAATCAAGCGAAGACGTCAGTGAGTGATGTCTGTTCAAATAAATCAGTACAATTTTGGCGGCCTGGCAGTCAGGGAGCTAGGTGGACGGATAAACAAACCGTTATGAGGTCAACCCACTTCTACAAAATCATTTTGGTTTACATCAGATCTAATAAAACGTCATATTTTAAGATGTGATAATTTTACTTCAGCTTTCATTAATTTTGATGAGAAGATTGGAAATGAGATCAGTTACAATTGAATGAGCTCATAAGCTCTTAACTTATATGAATTATTTTTAGACGAGATTCTACGTGTTGCTCTAAGATCACTGACATTATTTTAAATTAGTTCAAATGATTTGGGATGAGCTGACTTTACTCGAGCTTTGGTTACTTCATTTGATATTTTACTTTCTTTCTGTAATATTATATTTCAATTATTTGCATTATTCTATTTTTTGTTTTATTAGATTCATTCCTATATTTTATTATAATTTTACTAGTTTTCCTCTTCACTACTCCTTCCTCGTTCATATCTTTCCTTTGCTTACTTATTATCTCATCCTCTTTCCTAGTTATATTCATATATTTCGTAATCTGCTAGTTCGACCTTCATACATATCGTATGAATTCTACCTGTGTTTTGTCTTTTTTATGTTTGCTGTCTTATTTCTTTGTATACAGTTGGTTTATCATTTGTTGAATTGTCTGTTATACGTTGAGGAGCTCACCTTATCTGGAGTTCATAGTACCTTTGATAATATCCGGAGTCCGTCAGTAATCGTTCTACCGGTTTTGTCGTCTAATATGTGTCTCCTTTGCAAGTTGTATTGGGATGCTACGAATGGCAAGGCTTATTGAAAATTCCTCTGGAACATCTTGGGATGTACCAAGTTCACGGTGGTCTCTGGAAATTTTAATGCTTACTATCGACTCCAGACAAGTTGCTTTCCCCAAGCTCTCCCTCACAATACGATCAAGTCTCAAAAACAAGGTCAAACTTCTTCTATGCAACACTCCTATATTGGAATTTATAATTAGTGCTAAGGCAGATGACGTAGGCCTATGTACGTTCGCCAACGTCTCTTTATCACTCTCTAGCCAAATTGCATAAACGATTTATAACAAACTCTATAATTCTGGAGGTAGCTACAAATAAATCTAAGACAACACCATCTAGGTCTTTTTATTTGCTTTGAATTTCGGTTTAATTAAATAAGCTTAGATTCGCGTTAGGTGAACCTCATTAGAATTGAGGAAATAAAATTTAATAAAATAAGTTTTAAATTTAAATGGGATATTATTTGTGATAACAGATAAACTAATATTAGATTAGATTTATTGAGATGGCTAGTTTATGAGATATTAATAGTGAAAATAATCTGTGATAAGATGAGGTCTGTAGAGTTTAGTAAAGTTTATAGTAGGTGTACTCTAAGGCCTACCCCTATATGTTGGACTATAGATGAGTCTGATATTTCGATTATTTTTAGACTAACGCCAAATTTATGAGTTGTATTTGTTCTATTTCTTTAAGGTGATGAAGGACTTGTGGTTGAATTTTCCCGCAAAACTATGAGTATACCTTCCATTGAAGTGCACATAGTCCAGCCTCCTAAAATGTATTTTCCCCCAGGCTGAAGAGGACTGCAGTTTCGACCTCTCCCACGTTTCATCGGCATCTACAGTCGATATTATACGCTGCACTGCCACAGCCCAGGTTTGATTCCCTCTGGATGCTAGGGGTGCTGATTGGATTCGGGCGAGGCTGGAACTGTAGTCGACCCGAGTTGCGATGACAATGCCTTGTGGGAAGCAAAGCTATATGAAATTTAATTGAAACATATAGTCTACCCCTATGGTTGTGGGATAATTAAACTACCAGTCCTTCATCAGCTTAACGAAGCAGGGTGAATGCATCCCACGTATATAATATTGTGCAAGTCTCGTAAAACTACTTATAAATGGTTACTAACTCCATATTTGCCATAAACTAAAGGAAAAGTTAACAATTTCATTATTAATTGAATTTATCGCACAAAAGTATAAATACTAATACTTTCATTATTCTTCGCCTGCATATGCATATATCAGCTTGCAGTTATGGAGCATGGGGAACCGAAAATATGTAAATGCATTCAGCTCGAGAAGCCCTCGTCCATGCGCATGTAGGCGTATTTGCGGTCTACTTTCCTGTGCTCGTCTGCATGTGTGCTTGCAAACGTATGGCAAGTAGCATATTTTATCTAAGGCAAATTGAGGTTTTGCTTATGTAGGCTCCTAAAATAATGCTTTATATTCTATATGCCCTTAAAATATAAGTTCAAGTACAAGTACAAAGGTTAAGGGTGTGTAGTAAAATGGCCAAGTCTGAGGAAAGCTGTAGTGCTGTAGATGGATGTACAGGCTGGAAGATGTTGGCCAGACGGGGGGCCAAGTGCAAAGGAGTGAAGGCATGGCAAGGATGTTAGAGTGGGCATGTTAGACTTGTTGACGGAAAAGTTGATTGTTACCCTGTTTTCAGACGCAGAGATAAAATTACTGAGAGCATGCTTATCACATAAGGATTCTGTAGCGTCATGAATAGGCCAGCAGGACCCACAGCTCTGAGGGTCTTTGCGGCGTGATCGAAGGCCGGAAGTAAGCTTTCCCTGCAAATATGTAATCAACTGAACTGTGTTTGATGCTGATGACTTGGCCTTCGAAGGAAGGCAGTACACCTTCCCAGTTTGACTATGCACACGTTTGTGCTTGTATGTGTTTACTCGAGTGTAGGTGTGCCATGTGGTCTGAGGGACACCGTGAAACTTGTCCCACACTCTGAGGGCTAAAAGGAAGACTTTTAGAAAGACGTGGAAGATGGTTGTGTGTGGGCTTGTGTTCATTTTGCCACGTGGGGCAAACCAAATGGTGACAATTTACGTTTTGGAGCCGTAGAAAACAACTTTCGGATCCTGCCGCGGACTACGTATCCGTTGGGATCTGCGCAAGCGGGCAGATTCACCGTTTACAGGCGCAAGAGGGCTAGGTAGTTCGGTGTGCTCAAGTTGATGATGTGTATTTACACGCAGAAGCCTTTAAACTGGGCCTGGCTACAGATGATACGAGGGTGGCATGCTTTCGGGGCTCTGGTGAGAAAGGTTGGCGCCATTTCCCAGTTCGCTGAGGCCATGAAACGCAAATTGGCGCACGTTGT